GGATTTGAGATAAGTTTTTATCTTTGTGACTGCATTTGGTTTTAATTTTAATTTAGACTTTTAATTTAGACTTCTTATTTGTTTACATGATTTCTACTTTTAAACTTAAGTGTGGTTATGTTTTCTCCGTAAATTCTGAATAGTTTTCTTTATCTTTTTCCTTAAAATAATAAGTTATTAAGTATTGGATGGTTGTGTGAAGTATTAATTTTTAAAGTTAGAATAAGTTGTGATGATTTTAAACCTTGTACTTCATTTTCTTCTTCATTTGGTCATTTAAGATGTTAATATATGTTGTGGGAACATGTAAGATTCGAGATTTTATTGTCTCAATCAATTAATGGTAAGAATCACATGAGATTGTATGGATGAGAATGTAATTCATATAATTGAGTTAATTCATAATGTAATTCATATAATTGAGTGCAAATAAATAGGGAAACAAACTTTGAATGGTGTAGAATTAGAGGACTATAGAGTGATAGGATAAAGCCCCCAATTTGATTTATAGTTTTAGGTTTTGATACGAGATGTTAGCCTCCATGTGGAGGGAGGAGGGAATTCTAGAGTGAAAGCTAGTATCTTCCCTACCTAACCCGTCTTCAAGACTATTCAAGCTTTAAATTAGCCAATGTTCTTTATAGTATCTCTAGTAAGGGTAACGAACATTATTGCTCATATTTAGCACAACACAATTTGAATATATCCACAACATAATTCATATACTTGTTACTGGTTCATGATAAGTAAAATGATATCTTATTTATATTGTCTTCATTTTACCAATATCTAGTTAAGTTTAGTTAGTTGTTTACTTTACTTTCATTAACGAAAATTTTAAAAAGAATCGAATTTTCATTCCTATTATAACATCTAAAGTTTGAGTAAGAATATTTTGCTAAGTAAAATTTATTTTCTAATTTCTTCTGATTTTAGTTGCATACTGTCTTTTGTCCCCGTGGGTTTGATATTCGGGGCTTAATCAAAAAGTCATATATTAATTGATAACGATACATATACTTGCATAGTATCCTATATTTAAATATAATAATTGTATTATTATTTGCTTCAAAGTCAAATTTTTGCCTAGATTTTGTTTGTGATCAAGTTTTTGGCACCGTTGCAAAGTAAGAATTATAAGTAAGAAAAAATTAATATTATAATCACATACATTGTATTGTCATATAAAATCGGGATCATCACCCAATGGCGAGCTCTCCCGGGTGGGGCTGAATCGGTATCGATCCTGATTTCGTGCTCGAGACAAACACTAGGAGGTCCAAATGGATGTCTTTGACTACATGAGATTGAACACAATCCCGCAACATTTAAGTGGACACCCCACACAGACGACATCAAAAGATATGCCAACAATAAGCCATATTGCCTGCATAAATGACAGTCATAAATAAACTAATAGAAGAAGAAACAAAAATGTGCCCATCCATAATTTGAGGTCCCATTTCAATAGCAGAGAAATTTAAAATATTCATATTTCACTTAATCCAAATCCTTCCATTATCAATAATATCAAAATTTTCTGCACTTCCATCATTGAAAAAAAAAATTAAAATGATTTTAAACCAAAAGATCAGAAGTTAAAGAAAATGTAACTTTAATTTTTAAGAGGCATAATAAATCAAAATTATGCTCTATAGGAATATATTTACAATCAACAAGCTGGGTATCACCATTAAATCATATAATATTTCAAGCAGCCAACTTAAAAATAAACATAAACAAGAAATAAATAAAATATTGAGATCTGTTCTTCTTGCTTCAAATAGCAACATTAGAATAGGGCTGCAAACGAGCCGAGCTTGAGCGAGCTCAGGCTTGGCTGGTGTTCGGCTCGTTCGAAAGAGCTCGTGTTCGAAATCGGCTCGTGAACAGCGTGTTCGTGTTCGGCTCGATTTAAATATTCGCATTCGTGTTCGGCTCGAAATTGGCTCGTTAAACTAAAATTGAAAAAAATAGATGTAAAGTGTGGGATTCAAATTTGAATCAAATCTATATAAAAAAAGGCACTAATCACATTGTCACATGAGGTGTTATGATTTAAATTTAGACATAAATATATATAGTATATTATTATATAAATAATATATGTAATATATTGTTATATAAAAAGTTATATAATTTTTTTTTCGAGCCATTTCGAGCCAAACACAAGCGAACAAACTGTTGTTTGTGTACATTTCGAGCTTAGAAATTTGTTTGTGTTCGGTTCGTTAAGTTCGTTAGGCTTAACGAACGAGTCGAACACGAGCTGCTTAACGAGCCGAACACGAGCTGATTACGAACAGCGAGCCAAATTGGCAGCCCTACATTAGAATGAGCATTAGAAATATTTCTAACTTTATTAGCTATACAAGATGAGGCTAAATCAAAGCAAATATTAGAGACATTGTTAACAACCATACCACCGCGTTTGGAAGAGGTATTATTAGCATCATTAGTTTTAAAAATCTCATTATTAACATTTAACCCATGAAGAAACAATATTAGAGGGAATCATATAATGTAAAACAATGTTATTAACATCCTTAGAATGCTTAGCTAAAACTACAATAGGTTGTAATGGAGAAGAGGCCTCATTATTAACTAAAGTTGCAACATAGGATTAGGATCCACCCAAGATTCAATGCCATTAGATTGAACCACAACAAGAACATTAAGATCAAGAAGAGAGATAAAGGTATTTAAAATAGGTTGAATGTTTCTAGGTCCGTGAGTAGACCGAAAAGTATTAACCGATTTACTACGATTTCTATGGTTTCTAGTTGTAAATTCATATTCAATTCTATTATTTAATGTGAGTGATTTTGGATTAAATTTTTAAAAGGTGAATATCAATTAAGATGTAACTTAAAAATTTTAATGAAATTTTATTGAATTTGTAGGTTGTATAATACTCATCTAAGTAATAATCATTTCATTTGAAGAAGAAGAAGAAGATAAATGGAAGATATCTCTTATTTAAGTGCATATGATTAGAAAATGATAATGATCAAAATATCCTAGTTTTGCCATTTTGAATATTCTAATTTATTTAGTTAATAGAAAAAGTCAATTTACCCTAACCTAAAACTCATTAGTTAATGTTAAAGAAGGAAATCTCATAAGCTTGTTATGTAAAATTGCTATGATGGTAAAATTTAAGTGGTATTTCACTAATATGGGATCTATTAGACTCGAACTCGATTTGAAAATTTCATATTCATGTTGACCATATTAAAAATTCTTATATGTTTTTTTTATTTTATTTTGAGGTGGTGGAAATTCTAAGATTGACTCGCTAAGTCTAAAATGGATAAAAGTTCGAACGGTTAAATCAAAATTAACTTGACAGTGACTCAAAGTTGACCGAAATTTGACACCATTTTGCATATATTAAATGTATTATGTAGGTAAAAAGAAAGTAAAATAAAACAATTTTTAGTTTCTTTTTATTTACTTTCATGAAAAATTATCCTTTTAAAAAGCTTGCATAAACTTTATTGGTGTACATCCACAAATGGTCTACATTAATCTTGAGACAACATAACAAACCAGATTAAAACGATGATGATTCTATTAATGAAAAGATATAAGACCTCGTAAATCCAATCGCCTATAAACGATCAGCGACTGATGGCCAATCGACCCAAGAGCTAATGACCTACCAAATGATTGCTGGTCAACTGAAGGCCAGCCTAGCGACTAAAAGGTCTCCCTGAAAAATAAGAGATTAGAATCCATATCAACACTCAAACAAAGGCTCTATCAACAGTTCCCCCCAAAGTTATCTCGACATCACCACAGAAACAATAATCATGCAGGTTGATCGACCACCTCACTCAGAGCCTACTGACTTCCCGGAGCGAAGGACAGATGATGTCCAGACCAGAAGCTGACCAACTTTCCAGAGCGAAGACCAACAAACATCCATAAGAAAAGGTGTCAAAATTAGTTATAATTACGAAAAGGGGTAGCACGCTAAAAGACAACAATATCCTATAGCACTCTTATTAAAATAAGGGTAATCATGTAATTTTACATATTTGGTCTTCTATCTCCTATAAATGGGGGGTTCTAAACATGTATTAGGGGTTTTTGGCCTCTCTAGACCTTTTAGTTCTTTTTAGATCCACCTTTAGGGAGAACTCTCTCACATTCTCTCTTATAAACCCTACTTTCCATATATAAAATCGGTCATTGACCGAAAATACTCAATTTAGCCCTTACAGAAAGTCTGTGTTGTTCTTTTCGTTTTTCTTCCTCTCTCTCTTCTTCCCTCCTCTTTGGCCCCTACCACCGGTCCCTGGACATGACTCATATGACAAATTTGTATCCAACAATTGACATTAAATATTTTTAAGTATTTGTATGAGTATTTGAGATCACATGATTTTTTAGTATATTGAAATTTGTTATCCATCTCGAATTAGTTCAAAGTATAGATAATCAATTAGCTTTACTTATATGGACTCTGATTTTCTTAATTTAAAATTTAATTATTTTTTAATAAGGGCTTGGATATGGATGCACATGATAATTTATTAAAAAATGGTCTAATATTTTAATTAATTAATTAATAATCACTAAATTACTATTTTTTCCAATGACTCCAAACATATCTGCAGCCGAATCCCACCACGTCAGCTACTAACTATATTACTCAGAACATAACCGTCCGACACGTTAACCTCTCGGCCTTTCCAAACTCCACTCAACAGCGCACCCCACCTCCCTTCATCGAGTAACAAACCGCCATCTGTCATATATAACACGTGGCCTCACATTATGAAAGGTAAATTCTCTGGAGTGAAAAAAAGAGTGCAGTTTTTTGTAACAGCAATTTAGGAAATGTAGGCCTCACATTCGCTTCCACGTGGAAGCCGCCACCACGCGTCGAACAGTAAATTTCCACGTGGCCCTTCCCGAATCGGCTGAGCATGAAATGTATATCTATATATATATAAGCGTATAATTAAAGGTCAAATTACTTAAGACTCACAATAATGGGTGTGCTAACTTATGTCTCCGAACTCTACTCTGATTTGGCTGATAACTTCAATGCTAAGAAGAAAAAGAAGAGCTTTCAGGTAATATATAGTTCATACACGCATACATATATATATATACCCTTCATTTGTTCTCAAATTATATTATTAAATTATGATTTTTTTCATTATAATCACATATATTATGATATTTTAGGATTTATTATCATTATTATTATTTGTTCTTGTCTAGTATTGATGATTTTAAATGAGTTTTGATGATCTTTTATCTTTTAATTTTGATATATAATTGAAAAACTTTACCTCGGGTTATGTTAGTGTGTGTGTTTGTGTGTGTGTACTCGCACGCGAAAAGCCTCGCTCGTTGGTGCGGCCTCTGGCATAAGTCTCTCGGGTCGAGGGTCTGAATCCCGTGACGCGGGCTCTTCGAATCAGAATCAAGCATACCAGATTTTCAACCCATATGGGGAATCGATATTTGGTGCCCACTAGACAAAATATCGATTTCACCTTTATACATATATATCTTGCATTAATACAAAATTAACCAAATGGGAGAAATATGGGCATTTTGATACATAACTCTTATGTATTCTCATAAATTTTACTGTTTTACATTTATAATACACCGATCTTTCATATCCCATGAAAGAAGATCACTATATGCTAATTTTTATATGTCAAAATTGAAATTAAGTTGTTAGATATGCGAATACATAAGAATTAAGTGATATTTATGTAAATCATCTATGATGATATATTGTTAATCATATTTCTCTTTTATTTCATTATTTAGACGGTGGAGATAAAAATAAGAATAGATTGCGAGGGGTGCGAGAGGAGGGCCCGTCACTCCGTGGAAGGAATGAAGGGCGTGACCAAGGTGGAACTTGAAGCGAAGGAGAACAAGTTGACCGTTTCGGGCTACGTTGACCCCAAGAAAGTCCTCAAGAGGGTGAGGCGAAAAACGGGGAAGAACGCGGTGATGTGGCCGTACATAAAGCACGACTTGGTGTACCATCCGTACATCGCCGGAGCATACGACAAGAAGGCGCCGCCGGGATATGTTCGTGACGTCAGCAACGACCCTAACCTCGGAAACCTCGCACGTGCTTCCTCGGTTGAGGAGAGGTATGCGACCGCCTTTAGTGAGGAGAATCCTAATGCGTGTGCAATCATGTGAATTTGATGGGGGTTTTTTTTTTTATGAAATTAATGATGTACTCTTTTTTTTTATTTTTGTGAAGTTGTAAAGTTTTTGACTTTTTGTAGGTATGGTAAGAGGAGATGTTTGGTTTGATGTTGTTTAATCATAAACTTAAATTTGATTATCTGAATGACAGAGCTCATGACTTAATTGAGATAATGGTTGAAATTGTGCCCCCTTAGCAAAGAAGATAGAGGATGATGGTTATTGCTCTACTTTTAGTGCATATCTAATATCAACCTCTATGCAAATTCATGCGGATTTGTTTGTTGAGTTGCTTTTTTTATCTTTCGATCGATTTTTGATGGATCACAACCGCAAGTGTCTTGGTCAAATAAGTATTCTGACGACCTAATGTTAGTAATAAATATACTAAAGGCGGTTTTTACAACAGGTGAGTCGATTGGTCTCATTGTATGCCGGTTTACAGCTTATCGAGAAACCAATAGATGTGTATGTCGAATGGAAGTCTGTCGAAAAACTATACCTGAAAAAATAGAACCCTTCACTCATTTGAATTTTATGTATTTGCAATCGTATCGTAGAGCATGAAATGACTAATAAGGATCTGTTGGGGCAGCTGCAGCTTATTAAAAAGTAGCTGTGAAGCTGCTAAAAAATGATTTAATGTTCAAAAAGCTGCGGTGGCTATTATAGTTAAACCACAGCTAGAAAGCGACCACCGCACCTAGCTAGTATGACCAGTAAGAAAATGCAGATTTCAGCAAAAATATTTTGAAAAAAAAAAACTGTCAAAATGCAATTACCCAACCAAACAAAACTGTGATTCATTGTCACATTATCACCGCACCGCCGCCCCAAATGGACTCGTAAAACTCATATGATTTTAGAATAATGTAGAACCATGTAAAGATAACCATAAATAAAAAATAAAGATAAATCATAATGTAATAAGTCAAAATAAAAGAAATATTTAGTATGTATTACATAACGATATAGGTTCTCTCGAAAAAATGACATCAATGATATAAAAAATGAATCCATACATCTGCTCCTCATTATAATCCTCTTCCTTCTTGTGGACCACCTCCATCGACCTCTTCCATCACTGACATGGCTCACTTTGCATCTCATCAAACCTACCCTCCATCATCGCCTTAGTCTCAGCAAGCTGAATGATGATTCAAATTTCTATGTCCTCACTGAATGTCGTGACATGACTGCGAATTTCATTATCAACAGACGTGGAGCTCTCATTAGAGGAGTGTCTTGTGTTGTATGCGAGTACCTATGAACCCAAATATTATATCATTACCTTCTTCTTTCCATAATGGCTTTTCTTCAGATTTCAAAAGCTGAGAGGTCAAATTGGCCACTATAGGGTGGAGCTCCTTTTGAGCTCCGAGTTTAAACAACCTTTAGATGTAAGTAGTCCTCCTGCACAAAATTATAATTTGTACTTAGCGATAAAATAAAATTTTAAAATAATTACAATCATATAAAAAATATTATGCTACTTTCATGGGCTTTCTGAGATATGCTGTCGACGCATTGCTGATTTGATTGATGCTAATGTGTACAACCATATAACTCAGAGTTGGTGGGCTCTTGTTCAAGCTATTGAGTCTGGTATCATACAAAAAAAGTTAATAAACAATAGTTATACATGAAAACTTAATGCACATAGTAATGCATATCATCCTCCATTAGCTTGTGCTCACTATGTGGGAGCGTGCCTCTAATTATAAGGAGGTGTCTATGCCTCCACATTGTGAAGTCCAATTTTTCTTTGGTTGTTTCTTCTTGTTCCTTCTTGTTGATATAGTTAGGAGAGGCCCAAGCTCTGCACAATTGTGTCCAATTGTCCTCTGATCCATAAATGTCTCTAACTCATCATGTATATGTCAGCAAACATATCGCGCGGACACGTAACCCCTCTAATCTCAAAAATCCTTTTAATTTGCAAGTAATTCTCAAGTAACCAGAAGAACTCTATTTGCATCACAAATATAAATTATTTAGATAAAGTCGTACAACTTAAGATTGTTATTACTGTGCCACCCCAAAAGACACTCGGGGTGACACCATTGTCCATCTGAAACAGTGGGTCATTTTAATTCCTTTATTTGATGATTAAGCTGACATCAATGATTCAAGTGAATTATGATAAAAATATCAATCTTGTTTGCCCCACATTTACTAACTATCTATTCGTCCCACAATGTCAAAGCACCAACAGACCTCTCTGCCACCAGTAAGGGTGTCAAAAATCGAATTGACACGACAACTCGACCCAAACCAGACTAAAAAAGTTTGAGTTTCGGTTGATCCAAATAATTTTTGGGTCAAGTTCAGTTTAAATATCCTAACTTATTTAATTTATCAAGTTAGCTTTGGGTTGACTCACCAACCCTAAATTATCTTGAAATCAACTCGTTAACCCAAAATTGACTCTAAACTTAGATGTTAAATGGGTTATATGGATTGGGTTTTGGTTGACATGTTAAAGTCGTATCGGGTTTGGGTTAGAATTTTCAACTCGTAGAATATTCCGGTTGGACCTATGTGGGTTGAGTCTTTTTCAGGTTGGACCTGAACCTGACCCGTTTACCCGAATTGACACCCCTAATAATGTACCCCCCTTGAAAATAGTTCAAGCCTTCCATGGCGGTTAGATTTTACTTTCTTAAAATGAAAAAGTGCAAGAATCACTTTAATGGTGAATCTAGACAGCCACCTCCCCAAAAACAGTGACATGATATAATAAGTTTTACATGAGGCATGACCTGTCAAAGGTGGAACTATTTGAGAAGGGCCAGAGGAAAGACACGAGCAAGTTAAGACTTGGGTTTGGTCATCCATGTACTTCCTAATTGGTATTAAACCATGTAACCAACTAACCAAGTGACACATCAACATTTAGTTATTTAAAATAGACAATCAGCAAAATATATACTGAGGAGCACCAAATTACTCATTTCATTAATAAAGCATGTTACATGTTCTCCATATAAATGAGGCTAAAATGAATTCCCACAAGAAGCATATTCTGATTTTATGGTATGAGATCCTAGAGCATTTTCTTAATGCATTCGATCAGCAATCAATTCTAGCACTGCCTCCAACTCTCGCCCTCCTCTGCAAATTCTTACAAATCTGACGCTCATGATGAAGGAAGCTCGTCATAGTACATGAACCTTGCAAGGCCAATGCATGTAAGCAAGCTGCCTCCAATGATAACTCTTTCAGAATGAATCTGGAGAAGCTCTCGGCCACTAACAGAGTCACACAATGACAGGATCCAAAGTAGAAGTGTATCGAACAAAATCCGGATCCCAGCGATGACCTAGCACATACATGCATCGTTTCTTTCTGGTTAGTTATCTGCTCAATAATGATTTGCTTGTTCATCCTCTTCTAGCAAATGATGGTTGTATAAGAGATTGAAAATATAAAATTATTACCTGGAAGGGGCTTATATGATTGTTCCTTCACTCTTTTTGCAGTAACATCATCTTTTCACAGTTTGGCCTGCATGACATTGGAAACCTACCATTCTACCTCAGTCATGCTCTCGTACTTACTAGGAGCCAATATATTATTGGTCATGGAAGCCTCTAAATAATATAGGATTATAAAATCTCACTTTTAATCTTGTCAACCTCGCGCTGTACTTCAGGCAAAATTTTCACCTTGGCCTTCAGAAAAGGGATGGCTTTTAGAGTTACTGGAATCCGACCGACTATTTTAAGAATGCAAAACATAACTTCAACTTCCAATCTCTTACCTTACTCTCGAGTTGACGAAAGTGAAAGTGACCCACGAACAAAAATTGAACATACCTGCTTAGGTACAGTATAAAGTGGAGCAGATATGTGAAGAGCTCGATCGACCAAATGATCATTTTCTTATGTGCTAAGATCATTAATGTCATTATAGTAGAGATTGAATTCAGCATTACTTGCATGACGAAGACCCTGTAATTGCTAAAAAAATGTTACTCACACAACGAGAATTAGAGGCCGAGTCAAAGCTAGTCCTATAAACCACAAGTTTGTTCTCCTTCATGATATTTCCCCTTTCCAATGAAGTAGTGGATCTCGGGTGGATGGCAGGGTCATAAATGTGGCTTGACCGATACTCCGATACTTTGGATTGGGATATCTTACATGAGATAGAAACTCATGAGAAGAATGATGATGAGGGATGCAAGGGGCTGCTTCTTGGCAATGGGGAGCCATATCTCATCCAAAGTAGTAAAAAAGAGTTTAAAAAAAAGTTATGAAGAACATGAAAGTATCTTCACAAGCTTTCCAACAGTCACGAGGCAAAACCGGAAGTACATGAATGAAACAAGAAAGAAGCTTATACACAGGTCCAAAGCCACCTTAGCTGAGATATGCCCCCAGCCGAACTAGCATCTTAAACATATAAATTTACATGCATGCCACTCAATTCTTATGCATTTCCATATCAAACACCTAATCTTTAAAGTCTCATCCATATCACCTTACTTATGCATAAACATATATATTTCACTTTTCAAAGTTAAAATGATGCATTTTTATATTAATATGAAAGTTTTGGGTGATATAAATGTAAGAAGTAAAGTTTGTGTTAGATAATGTAAATAGATAAGAAATAGGTGGCATGCATGTATGTATATGCCCCTTAAAACTTGTACATATGCATCTTATATTTTTGAATATTACTTTAGATTTTTAGAGCTTATTCACGCACACACGCACACACACACAAGATAGTTTATTACTATTCGCTTGAGTTCATTAGTTGTCTTACATGTTATAATACAAAATTTTGGGGGCAGTTACAAACATAGCACACAATTCTTATGTATTTACATATCGCACACCTAAACTTTTATATTTACACACATAGCATTTAAATCATTAATATAACATAAAAACATAATACTATTAAAGTTAAGTGCACATTTTTATGCTTAAAACATGAAAGTTGCTATGTATGTAAATAAGAAAGTTATGAATGTAAATATTAAATTCTTGGGGTGAGATATGTAAAATATAAGAATTGTGCTTGTAAATTTCACTTTAATATTTTGCTTTAAACTAGATTTTGGGAAATTAGTTTAGCAATACATTTTAAGAATTCTTCTATATAATTTATTAGATAAAATAAGAAATTATTGATTTCTATTTATGAATTAATATGTTAGAATTTATTTTTGATGACTATTATAATAATTTTAATTATTATATTGCGTGGCTTAATTTTTATTTTTCTTACTTTTAATCAATAGTTTGTTGACATTGAAGCTATTTTGTGGTTTATTTTAATTTATAGTTTCAATTTATAATTTTTTTCATTAATGTTATTTGTTAAAGTTTAAAAATCTTCTTAAGAAGTTTCAATTCAACTAACTTTTGATGTGTCATTTGACTATCATTAAGAGACTTAATAATTCTTACATAACTTAAGAGAAAAGTCATTTATGTGAATAGATCTTGGCTTTTTAAAGTCACATGTTCAACCCACACACTAAATTATTTAGGGTCCACTATTTCTAGAATAATGATTTAGAAAGTTCTATTTATCTTATAAAATTAAGTGGCATTAAGGGGCAGTTGTAGCTTATTGAATAATATGTTGATAAGCTGATTAAAAATAAGTTGCTGATAAGTTAGGTGTGGTGACTACTACAAATTTTTATTTTTTTTTGGAAAAGTCAGATCGTTGCGAATAAGCTCTCACTACGGTGTGAAACGTTGTTTTCTACGTTTTGAAAACGCATAAGCTGTCAAAATGTAGTTTACCCAAACAGACCAGGTGCGTTTTCAAAACGTCACCGCACCAAATAAGTTGTCACAAACGGATCCTAAGGGTCTATTTAGTGTTACTACAACTTTTTTATAGAAATGATTAAATTTGTGATATTATAAACAAATTTTTTAAAGTCGTGATGGGAATTATCCATCAAGGTGGAAAAAAAAAAGATTCATAGAGTCGACCCCACTTAGTTGGATAAATGCTTCTTATTGTTGTTCCTCTTACGAGAATTATATTATTTTTTTCAAAATAAACTCATAAAGTTTCTTCAAAGATTTTATTGCAAAATTATTTCCTATCACGGAATTTTTTAAATAATAGTAAAAAAATTAATTCTCAAATAAATATTTGGCGATAATTTGAAAAACAATGTATGGAGATATTCTCACACACATATCATAATTCTCAACATGTATAGCAACTCTATGCCTCCCTTATTATTTAAATGAAATTTTTATATGCTAAACGTCTAATATATTGATCATATAAATTTTGAAAAAAGTATTTTAATGAATTATTTTTTAAAATTGAAAATTTTGAGTGATTAAATTGTTATATTTAAATTTAAATGATTAAAATATTATATTTAATATTCAGTACAATTACATATTCGCCCAATCCCTACCGAAAAAATATTGCATCAGGATTCTTCACTTAGAGTTACGTGCGAATTCCGATGAAATCACGCCACTTAGAGGTGACAGAAAAAAAAAATTTCGGTCTTCTGGCAACACGAGAATATTCTCTCGTATTACTTCGTGTTATTTAGATATTATTGTATGTTATTCATGTGTTATAATATTTCTGATATTATAATAACTCATCAATAATATTTGAATAATACATATTAATAATTAAATAACACATAATATAAACTGAATAATATGAAAGTAATAAAAAGATTTTATTTTATTTTTTCTTTATCTTCCGCACATAATAATTTCTCCGGCTTTCAATTCCCCAATTCTCCGGCACTCTTCTTCTCCGTCCGGCACCTCCCCATCCACGGTTCATGGCGGCTGCTGATTCCGATGTCGAACACAAAGACGCAATAATAATGTGCGGCTACCCGAAACCTATATCGCCGCCGTACCCGGTACTGTCGAAGGACGTTGAGCTCCGCCGCGCAAGGTTGGCGGCCGCTAGATCGGCCGCATACTCCTTTTCTTCAGATGATATCATCTTTGAGGACGAATGGCTCCTTGTCGTCAAGAAACCCTCGGGGATCTATTGCGAAACCCTAATTTCTTCTCTTTCGTCGTCTTCAAGTAAGCCGGAACTTCCCCCAATTCGCCATATCCCTTTGATTCGTGCTTGAGTTGATGTGGATGTGTGCTTAAACTTTGAACTACTCTTTTGCATGCATTGATAAGGCTGCCCTAATTGCTATGGAAGGAAACATTTATATATATGAGACACTGGATGAACACTTAATGCTGAAGTTGCTTCAGAAAGAAACTGTTTTTCAAAAAAGTTATTGTGACTATTACAATTTTATTTTATTTTCATAAAGTCATAGCATAATTTTCTGAGAGTCACCACACATTAATAGCTCCAGTTGTAAAACACAGTTTTCTATCACATAAATTTCTATAAATACAATTAGAAAACAGTTCCACAAATATAACTGTGATGACGGTTTGAAAATCAAAGCTAACAGAAAGCTGTCCCAAACTAAGTTGTTGGGAAATTTATATACATACCACACAAATTTTATGTATTTACATTTCTAGCAACCGAAGTTTGATATTTACTTTTATAATTCCTTGGTGTCATAGTTCTATACATAAAAATATTTATTTCACTTTTAAAAAGATAATTATGATGATATTATTGCTATGATGCTAAAGATTTGAATGATATGCATTTAAATATTAATGTTTAAATGTTAGATATGTATATACATAGGAATTGTGTAGAATACAAAGTTTTTGAAGCTTGTGAAGTAAAAATTTAAGTGTGGCAAAATATGCTTATTAAAATGCTTAGTACAATTTAAATTATATTATCCAAACTAATTTATAGAACAATCTCTAGTTGTGACTTTTGAGAGCCATTTTCTCTCTTCTTAAATGGCAATGATGATTTGAGCTACAATTAATACTTCATTATTTTGGTAGCCTTTATTAATCCCATTTTATATAATTCATGCTTGTTGAGTGTTTGCTGGGTTATTAAACTTATTTTTCATAATTTTTTTATATAATTTCTATCCTAATTACCTTAGGTCAAATGATTTATTAAGGAAAATTTACATACATACGACACAATTCTTATTTATTTACATATCTAACGTATAAAGTTCGATATTTATATACATAACACTTTAATGTCATAATAACATCAAAACATATGCATGAAAAGGGGCATTTCACTTTAAAAAAAGTTCATATTGTTACTATTTTTTTTATGTGATATTAAAATTTTAAGCATTAGATTTGTAAATACATAAAAATTTTGCGTTATGTATGTAAATGCTGACTCAATTATTAAATGATATTTTATAAAACTTATTCTTAAGTCTCTATGAAATCTTCTTCTTGAAGCTTTATTCTTTGATCCACTTGTATATTTTAACAATTCAATTTTTTACTTTCAAAGCCATATCACAATTCATATCTTCATTTCTCAATCAAATGGATCTAAATTAGCTTATTATCACAAGTTCTTATCCAAAATGCAATTGACTCATCATCTTCCTCGCATCCTCATCAATCTAAAACTGCTCCCAACTGCCATGAATGATGTGCTAACCTTTTCATACTGTTCTCAGAAACATCAACACTGCAATCAAATCTCCATCTAGCTAACCGACTGGATAGAGATACCAGTGGTCTAATGCTCATAACCAAATCAAACAAAGCTTCTGCCAAATTACTGAAGGCATTCACCGATCACAAGGTCAAGAAAACCTACCTTGCATTATGTGTTGGAAATGCTCCAGTTTGGGAGAAGATGAAGATAAGTTCAGGACATGGAAGGTCCAGATATGGAGCATGGCGAGTTTACTCTGCATCAGATGTTGGTAGAGTTCTTCCCGGAGGTTCGCGGGTGAAGTCGATACTCACGTCCTTCGAAATCCTTTCTGTCAACAGACGAGGGAAGTTTCAAGCACCAAACGAGGGCAATATGGATGAGCTGCAGTCTGTAATGGCTGAAGAGGGAGGAAGCAACAATGGTGGAACTGAGGGTGATGAGAAAGATGATATTTTGGTCAGAGCTTATCCTGAGAGTGGAAGAACTCATCAGGTACGTCTCCATTGTCAGCATCTAGGGTTTTCAATAAGAGGTGATGTGAAGTATGGAGGTGTTCATGAGTGGAAGGGAAGGGATTGTGATTTCCATGCCTTGCATGCTGAGAGCCTTTCGTTTGAACATCCTATTACTGGTTTGGATGTTTCTTTCTTTGCCCCTTCTCCTTCATGGGTTAGTGAGGCTTGTTGTGCAACATTGAATGAGTTATGATAATCTTTTTTGGAATATTCTTATGTATTTACATGTCTCATTTCAAAACTTCATATTTATATTTATGATAGATTGGTGTGATTAACATATGTGTGAAAAAGATGTATTTCACTTTTAAAAAATAGGTGATAGAGGTATTTTTAATGTGATATTAAGGATTTGAGTGGTATGGATGTAAATATTGAAGTTTGGGTGTTGGAATTATAAATGCATAAGAATTGTGTGGGGTATGTTGGTAAATGCCCCCATTTTTTTTTTTTTTTAAATGTGTTAGGTCTTCAGCTAAGACATTTTAGTTTATTTGCGCATAGAATAGTTATCTGCTTATATATTCATAAATTCAAACCAGAATATTTTTTCTTGGATTTTTTGAAGTGATTTTAGCGAATTAATTTCTATGTGTGTGTGGAAAAACTATTGCATACAGATACAAATCACGGTGATCTACGGTGAGGATGCAATCAAATTTTTTTAAAAAATATAAAAAAATTTAAATTGGGGCCCACCGAAATACATCCTCACCGCAGATCACTGTGATATACGGTGTAGATCGGACACCGCATGCATCTCTGCATGCGGTGTTCGTATGCAATGATTCTTCGTGTGTGTGTGTGTCTCTCTCTTTCTCTCTATCATGTTGTCTCGTTTCTCCGTAAAAATAAAGAGGTCGTTTGGGATTTTTTTTTATTCTTTTCTATTTTATTTTATTTATGTTTGATTAGAAATAAAACATATGTGGTGTGAGTAGTTGTTTCTAAAAATATAGAAGTAAGAGAACTCCCAAACAAGTGCTTAGTAAATACAAAGAAGATATATATTTAATTAAGTTTACTAGTTCAGGTGTATGATAAGAGCGAATTATTCAAAGAAGTATCAATTAAAGTTTGAAGTTTAAATTTATAATTTTCTTTAGTCAAAATTTAATATCGGTGATGTTTAAGGTTGTGTTTGTTTCGGCAGTGACAGTAGACAAGTTAATTTCAGAAATTGTTGTTGAAAATTTATTGTTAAAAAGCTGGTGTTTCAAAAACAGTTTATCTGTTTGAAAAACACTGTTATGAAAATGTTGTATATTGATAAAATGATTGTAATACCTTGAGTATAGAAATACATTTCAGTTTAAATTGTTTAAAAAACATCGTTCTGAAAGTCATTCTTGTGAATACATCCATTGACAATTTATCAAGTTATTTTTACTCCTAACAACATAATATAGCAAATAAATGTGGATATTAATTGAATCATAAGAAATCATCAAATTATGTTTTCCAACAATAATACAATCACAAGAAATTATGATAGATCAAATGGTCCAAAATTAAATTTGCATACAACATAAAAATCTAATTCAGTACAATTTGTTCTTCATAATACATGTACATAATCAAAATAAATATAACACTAACAACAATAAAAGCAGTGCTACAATTACAAAATCGGATAGAATTAAAGTCGTCATAAGAAAATTCATGTTTTAACATCATTTTTCATTGTATCATCAATTACATATATCCTTTCGTTAGGTCGCTCATGTGGTGCATCTCTCGGTCCATCAATCCATTGGAAAAATTTACAATCTCTATTTTGTTAAATTCTTTTGACATCTGTAAAATTTTCGTTCTACATTGTCCACTTTCTGAGCGGTGAAAATAATGCATAATAGATTGCAATCATAGAAAATCTGTCGATGTTTGGTCTCCTTAGCGCTTGTTGAATCTCTTGAGCTCATTTTCGATAGTACAATCCTGTACAATAATGATTAGCACAAAAAGAACGAATTTTGTTGCATATACAAAAAAAAACAATAAACGCTTAATGTGGGGGATCTTGGTTGTTAGAAACCCTTAAGACCAAACTTGTGTATGCATAAATGCATATAAAGAAGATCATCCATAAGAGCCTCTTGAGTCAAATGACCGATCATAGCCGAAGAAACTCAAAACAGAAGCCAACAAACAAATACATAAAAAATCAAAGATAACCACCAAAAAAAGCAACACAACACAACCAAAAACAGGGCAATAATAACAAAGAAGCACAAGAAGAAACTCAAAAAAAAAAAAATGAACTTGGTACTTACCTAAAGAAAAAACATTAAAACACCTTCTAAATACAATAAATATTTTAGCATAAAAACATTTAAAGTAAAGTTGAATTTTAATGCAATGACTAGAAACATATATAGTGTGACGTCAATAGCAGCTTATAAAACCAGCTTTTCTACAGTTGCTACTGAAACAAATGCACCCTATGTGTTACAGTCATTAGTTTTCTTGAATATCATAGAAAATATTTCAAATACATTCAAGTTTTTAAATGATCGATATATGATAACCTTTTTTGTCTAATGTTTATAACTTACAGCTTTAATCAAATGCAAAATTTATCACTATCCTTATATATACATATATATTATTGAGGCTGGATTTATTCGTGAATCACACAGAACCTAAATAAAAAGAGAGAGAGGCCGAGATTTCTTAGAATATTGTATTTTTATATTAATTTTTCATCCCTATTACAAATAATGCTCATTTATTTATAGGAGAAAAATTATAAAAAAAATGAAAATTATCCCCCTAGTTTTATGCAGTTGGTGAGGGTTTAGTGGAGAGAGCTGACTAGAGCCGGTCAACAATAGAGAGCTAAATAGTGAGGGCCGACTGGAACTGACCTACTGAGCTGACTGAAGCTTGGTCGAGTAGGTCGAATGGAGAGGGTTGACAGGTGAGGGCCGATTGGAGATGACCAATTGAGGTGACTTGAGCTTGGTCGAGTTTAGCAAGTCCTTTTGACAATCTCAATGCCTTAAATTATGAAGGAGGATTTTTGTCGTACATATTAACTTCCCGATTTTTTTATCTTTTTGAAAGGCATATGGGAAAAGAATAAGAAAATGATGAGTTTGAAACTAAAATTAGACAAGTGCATGCTTTTCTCCAAATGCAAGTCAAAGGTTGCTCAAGTAAAAAATGTTTGGGATATCTCTGTGTTGACTATTCATCTGTTCGAGGGCTCTTAGCTCTCCTGCAGGATTTTGTCTTGGGGACATTTTGGCTCAATTTTAGGGAGTAGTATCAAAGATCACTAACTCATCACTATTTTAGTTAACTTGGTCTTATAAAGAGAGTTCTTCAAGTATTACCAATGAAATGAGTCTCCTCTTTTTGTGCGATTAGATTGATTATCTTCTTTTAATGTGACTCAACCCCTAGGGCCCATAGCTCTTCTATAGAGAGCAGTTGCCGCAATTTTTCAAATTTACTTAGGTCGAGATCTTGCAGTCTTCAACCCTAGTTTAGCTGTCCAAATTATACTTTGAAAAGAACTTTCTAAATTCGTCCTTAACATTCGACTATCAATTAAAGTAGGGTCAAAAAAATATAGGTCATTTTCCTTTTACTCTTTGAAATCTTGCTTGTGAGAGACAAGTTCCCTGAATATTATGAGCAAATTCACATTCACATTGAATATGTAAGAAAAAAACATAAATGTAATAAAATAAAAATAAAGAAGAGGGTCCTCAGAGATTTTCCCTGCAAAGTTCTTGCTGCTTGGCCTCTAGGCATACTTTGCATTGGTAATTTCTTTAGGATGCTCACTTATGACCCCACCTTTTTAAGTGTGGTGGCAAATAATGCCAATCACACTGTCTATTCTGTGCAGTTCGTATATTTTTTGTTTTGATTAATGCAAAATGCACACCCTTAAAAAAACAATTTTTATACATTTACATATTTAAAACCTAAATTTTCATATTTATAAAAATAACACTCAAATATTCGACATCACATCTAAGTTATCACTATCACTAACTTTTAAAAGTAAAAGACATTTTCATTCGCAAGTTTTTAATTTCCGATGTGTTATAAATGTAAATATAAAACTTTAGGTGTTACATATTTAAATGCATAAGAATTGTTTGGTATGCATGTAAATTTCCCAATATTTCAATATTCAACATTTCATTATTTAAAAGCAACAGTAAACAACAATTAACAAAATGACAATGCCCCCTCAATTGAAATCTCCCAAAGTTCATTAAACAACAAAACATTCTACAACATATATAAAAACAAACTTAAAACACAATCTTCTCTCCACAGACATGTATTTCCTTAGATCTCCTGAAATCTACTGAAATAAAATCACTACAAAATTTGAAAAAAAACCTAAAAGACAATCTCTTCTTCCTCATTACCCATGGGCAGTGCTCCCCTTTCAGCTGTATCTCTGAGTGCTGCAGCAGTAGAATCACTGATTCCCAGAAGATATTGTAATCTATCCAGCCTTTCTCTCTTAGGAATGCTCTTCAGATACACACAATATAGATCAGCAAGCTCCTCCGGTGAAGACCAAGATAAGGGCTCCGAAGCTACGGCGGCTTCGCAAGCTAACATGTCATTCAGTGAAGCAACCTGCACAATAATTAGAAAAAAAAATTCAGTTCCTCAATTTGGGGTGGCATTGACATACATACCACATAATTCTTATGTATTTACACATACCACATAATTCTTATGTATCCACATAATTCTTATGTATTTACATATCTAAGATCTAAACATTCATATTTACATGCCACTATCAGTATCCTGTTAGTGTAAATACCAAACTTTGGATTTTAAATAAGTACACACATAAGAATTATGTGTTGTGTATGCAAATTTCCTCTTTTTTTTCGGGAAGGGTGAGAAATCGAACCAAACACATTGAGATTTTTTTATTTCTTTCCAACGAATGTGCGCATTCGAGCACATCAATTTTTTCTTTTCTATTTAAAAACTAGTGCATAAACAAGTTGGAGTATTGAACATGATAGCAGATTAGGCAATACTATACCGAGTAAAATGTTTCATTTGATATAATGATGTTGATACTATGTTTTTTTTAATGTTGTATGAAATTAAATAATCATCTTTAACATATAGTCACAAGCAGCATATAAGTCAGTCAATGGCAGCTAATTCATGATCAAACAATATATTGCTGATTTTATATTACATTACTCTCCTACAATTCAAAACAGAATTGTACAGAGTTCGGAAAAGGAATACTTTTTGAGCAAAATTTTCATAAAAGATAAGATTGCTTTTGAAAATTTAAGCAGTAGAGAACCTGCACCTAAAGAAACCAAGTAATAATGATTTAAAGGGGCATTCACATACATATCACCCAACTCTTACGTATTTAGATACCTAACATCTAAAGTTTACTTCTTACATTTATACCACCCAATCTTTCCTATTGCAACAAAAATAGCACCACTTTAGGTTTTAAAGTGAAATACACCTTTTCATGCATATGGAAGGTGTCATGTATATGAAAATTAAATTTTATATGTTAGATATGTAAATACAAAAAAATTGACTGGAATGTATGTAAATTTTCCTAACTTTAAAAGATCAGCAGAAGCAATCTCTTATCATAGATAAATAAAATAAAAGATGATTTAAAAAACGAGAAAGCTCATACCACTCCATCTCTTTTCCTCTGTCGAAGCAAAGCCACAGCCTGAATCAGCGAATTCGATAATCTATGCTGCGCAATATCCTGAACAACTCCTTTCGCTTTATCAGCATCAATATTAAGATCAGAGGGGATTTTCACATACACATCTTCCTCATCAAACAATCCTGTACCAGACGAAAAAATTTCCTCAACGGTTTTCTTGAACAGATTCTCGCGCAAACGCTCCGAGATCATGCTATCTAAATCAACATTCGCCTCTTTCAATTCGCGAACCTGTTGTATTCCAATCCTCCCTTGACTAACCGCCGTCTCAATCGCGGCAGCCATTTTTGTCGTGGTTATGTTCTTAATTACTTTCTGTGCATATTCTGCAGGCAATCCAACCTGCTTTTGGACCTCACTGAGCTGATCAATTTTCGATTTAGTCAACTGTCCATCAGCGAGAATCACCTCTGCCTGCTTCATGAATGCCTGTTCAGCCAAATTTCTATGAACTTCCACTATTTCTTTACCAGTTAATCCAAGGATTCCACCGAGCTGATTTAATAAGATATATTCAGAGTTATCCTTTTTTGTGATTATCTGAGCACCAAAAGGAACAACGGTGACTTCTCCTGAAAGACAGAAGAGAAGGTATGTTCTATAGAGGTCAGTTTTATCCCTTTCGGGGAGATCATCCTTCAAATTTATTTCAGTTTGACCTCCCTTTCCAAGTTTTGCTTGGAGATCTTTGTTTGGTTTTGACTTTCTCAATGTTTGCAGTGATTCCCACTCATCATCTTCTTCCTCAGCTTGCTTGACCTCAACTTCAATTGGTTCCTCTGTAATGGGCTCTCCTTTGATGTCGGATATTAGTTCAGTGACAACTAAGGTATTAAATGCTATCATTTTCTTAAGCTCTTTTGCAGCTTCAGTTCGATTGCCAGCCGCTCTTGAACGTTGCACATAATTTAGAAAAACCTTGCGGACCTATGAAAAAAGGTTACATTTTTATGAGAGAGGAATGATCATTGTGACTTAATTTAAAAATTGCAGAAAAATCATCCATAGCATGCAAATAAGCTCATTAAAGTTGCTCTGGTTGTTGAGAAACACGTACCGCCTTGCTAGCAATAGCCATGGCAGATTCCTTTGTTAGTCGTAAACCCTGAGCAGCTTTTCTCACAGAAGCGCGGATGTCGGCATCATAACCGTCAACTCCTGATGAAATTGCATCTTTAACAACCTGTGGGGATTTGTAATATATAAATTAAGCATAAATTTAAAATGACATAATTCATTATTGAAAGGGTTCAGTTAACTGAAAAATGTTTAGATGCAGTGGAGTTTACCAATGTTTCTCAGATATAAATCATGCCTTTTACATAAAAAATTATCGTGAAAAAAGAACGCTTGTTAGCAATATAGCCTACTAATCCATAGAAAGCCCAGCTATTGATCAGCCCATTAATGCTTTCCCACAATTTATATTTTGTACCCAGGACATCAATGACATTACTATGGTTCTAGTAAATGCACAAGATTAGAGATGTTTTTGGAAGTTAGAATCAGAACAATGCACCGCGATAACCAGTTGAGTAAAGTGTCAAAATAGTCCCCTAATGATTTACATGAGATCATTTTAGTCTGCCGGTAAAGTGTCATGTTAGTCTCTAAATTCCTTTAATATGGGTTGAAATAGACCCCATTGGAGGACTATTTTAGCCCCCATTAAAAGAGTCTGGAGATTAAATTTGCATTTTTATAGACTGAAGCTAAAATAAATCCCTACAAAGAGTCAAATGACTATTTTGACACATTACACATAACCAGCTATATGTCCCACACAGACTCTAACCACATCGTTATGATTCCCCCTCCGCTAGAATCAACTCAGCCTTCAAATGTAGAAAAATATTGTGCAACAAACACAAACCACATATTGCGGGAAGTGCTTCATATTCTGTATGTAAAGGATACAAATGAATGAAACATAAAGTAATATATACCTTCTCGAATAAACGACCACAGATATCGGCATGTGCTGCATCAACAGTTTCTTGAGGAATACAGAGAAGAACTCTGATGCGAAGAAGAGAAGAAACTTCTTCCTCGCTAAGCTCACCATCAGCAACAGACTGCTGTAGCTTTTGCCTGTAAATTTCTGCAAAAAACATTCATAAGCCATCATTAAGATAGCTGTTTTTATATGGATGAAGCTGTGATAAGATTAAAACTGAACCAAAGGTTGTCACGAACAGATTAACATTCTAAACTTAGGATTATACGTAGTTATTACAATTTCAAGCCATGAAAAAGATAGCTGTGTTTGCTTGGATGAAGCTATGATAAAACTAAAACTAGGCCAATAGTTGTCCCGAACAGATTAACATTCTAAACTTGGGATTTTACATAGTTATTACATTTTATAAGGTTTATCAATTCTATTTTAGTTCAATAAAAAACATGCTTATGATGTCAATCCGTATACATAACAGGTTGTGTTCTCAGACATATGAGCTTGTTTGGTTAGGATCATTAAAACAATTGCTAATTCAAAATTCTCTCAAGCTGTTGATCTTATTCTTTCTCTTGATCACCTTTCAAATGGATGAAATCATGCCTCGTGTTTTGGTACTTGTGAAAACAGCTGTCGGACCGGAATACCCAAAATTCTTGGCTTGAGTACTGTCCCTATTTCGGATTTTCAATCTTTTAAATTAGGAAAATTGCCAAATTTGGCTCTTTTGGGATACCTAGGCATGCAAGGAATTACTATGGTCTCAAAAATTTTCTATTTTGCCTCTCAAACTTGCGTGCAAGTAAAATGCAAATTTTTAAGTGTTGTGCAAGGGTAGATTGCTATCTTTATAGAAAAGATCATCACATTGCACTAGTGTGAGGACTAAAACACTTATTCGTTAAATTCTTTATTTGACATTTTTCTTCATATATTTTGGTTGTTTTTATATACATCATAATTTTATGTTAATATTGTTAAAATCAACATTTAATTATCACAGTCCTAATCAATGAAATTTTTGTATTGCTCACAAATATCTAATTAGATTATCATTAAATGATCTTTTGGATTGATTTCATATGTTTTCTAGTTTTTATGAAAAGAGATGCATTTTTGTCTAAATTAAAAGTTTTATATACCAAACCGGTTGACCACACCTCAATCTTAATCTTTTGGGCTGATATGCATCTAGTCTTTTAGTATATAATACCGTACTCACTTCTAATCAAATTTGATCCTAAGTTCGTAACAAGTGGTATCTAAGACAAATGAACTTGATGGTGTTAAAAAATGGGATCAATATATTTTATGCTTCAGAAAGCTAAGGGGGGCTTGTTTGGTATCACTTTTATTTTTTGTTTTTTTTTTAATTTTAAAAATATGTTTGTTTAGTATATTTTTCATGTTTTTGTAATTTTAAAAAACAGGTTAGCCTGTCTTTAAAAATAATCCAAACATTTAAAAGTTATTTAGAGTATTTTAAAAACAACTAAACATGTTGTATCATACCTAACATAGTTTATTTTAAATCAAAATATAAACAGTATAAAATAAAATTAATATATATAAGTGATCCCAAACGACTCCTAAGTCAACTAGAAAGAATCAAATTATGTTGTACAAAAGAGCTAAATCAAACCAATTTTCAAGCCTTATTGACTGCTCTTTAATTTTTGCTAAATTTAACATCTTTTATTTTATTTTATTTTATTGAAGGTAACAAGATGAGTAAAATCGCATCCATATTTCAGATAATTAAGATGGGCAATTTAATCATATCTTTAGGTTTATTTTCCTTATAAATATCTTTAGGTTTATTTTTCCTAATAAATATGACCTATCACACTTTCCTTTTAGATAAACCAATTATCATTGATCCAAGTTGCACATGCATGTTGCACCAAATTGTGTGCGCAGAGTTCATTGTTGCAATTACTTTTTGTCTCAATATCTCCCTAGTTTGGATATACATAGACCTTATACATAGACCTTAATGTCAATATCTCCCTTTTTTTAGTCCCTACAAAGCATTTATATTAGCATGTCTTGAGAGATTTGGGTACATTTGAGTTAAAAGAAGTATGATTTCTGGTGCCCCAAACTTGTAAAAGTTTCATGGATTTTAGTTATCAGATTAATTTCCCATTTCTCTCTAGTGGTTTTAAGATAAGAGAACCACATAAAAATTGATTTTTTTTATTTTTTTATTTTTTTATTTTTGGTAAATGAATTGACACCAGCCCAATTAACAATATGTCAATAACTAAACAACCATTATTACTGAAAAAGCCAATATACAGTTACAATCAACACATGAAAATGAAAAAATAACAATAGACACCAGCTATGAGATTGATCGAGGAGTGGTGGTGGATGGTTATGGCTTGGGAAAGTGGTGGTAAGGTAGGAAATGTGGAGCAGCGAGTGGTACAGCAGGGAAGCAATAGACATTTGTTGTCCGGGACGGAACCACATAGATAGGTGGGCTGGACAGCGAAGAAATCATGATCAGAAGCAGTTTTAGTTGTCTAGTTTCTGAGTGGCTGGGACAGCAGATATGTGGCAGGACGGCGGTGCGGAAGGGCTGGGATAGCTGCTAGGTGGCAGGGAAGAAGTTTGGAATGGCTGGAAAGGCATCGAAGGAAGCAAAGGGGTGCTTTTGGTGGTTGGAACTGCTGCGAGCCAGCAAGAAAAATGTAGCAGGCGGCTAGAACGGATACCAAAATTAACCCAAATCACAATAGAAAAAGAAAGCATTATTACTAAAAGAAAATAGGGGGGTTACAACCAACACACTTAAAGGAAAATACAACGACACGACACCAGGAAATCTGAAATAACAACAGACAAGACACAAACACTCAATTAGGGTTGATGTCGAGCGCTGATGGTGGCTGTTAAAAGCTTGGAAAGGTGGAGGCAAGGTCGGGAAGGAGCAGGGCTGTGGGGAAATGGTGGCAAGGCAGCATCAGCTTGCTGTCCTGAGCAGCTGCAAGCAGGAAATTGCTGTAACAGGCAGTAATCAGCAAGAATTGGCTGTCCCAAGGGGATGGAATGAGGGTGGGCAGAAGTGGGATAACTTTCCATGGGCTGCAGCAAGTTCGAAAGAGGAGGAGGCTGGGAAGGTTCAATACTGCAGGAAAACAGGAATTTCCCACAGTTTCAGGCGGCGATTGCAAAGGAAGTTGGCGGGAAGCGATGCGGAAAGATTGAGGAATGGTGGAGGACAGCTGTGATGGGCGGCAACAGGCCTGGGAAAAGAGAGGGGGTGGGACAGGAAATGGTGGTAAAAGCTGTTGTTTTGATGGCTGCAGCAAGGAAGGGGTGATGAGGATGGATGAGGGTGGGGTGCACTGAAGATTAGGGGAATGATAAATACCACCTTTGGAGCAAGAAACAGCTAGAGCACCACTCGACCCTTGGAGGAGAATCACCACCTCGGATGATAAACAACCAAAGCACCCCTTGTCGTCTGATACAATCCATGAATGGAAAACTTGGACGTTGTCGGCTATCCTGATAGAAGATATAAAAAAGCTCCTCTAAACCCTAATACAATTTATATATAGGAAAGGACTAGAAATGAATAAAAGGAAAGTAAGAAACTCACTAAAAATTGGAAAAGAGTCAAAAATGGTTGTCCGGTTCGGCTCTGTGACGTTCGAGTGAACCGGTGCACGCGCTCGGTTCGGCTCCAAGTCGCAGGACAGTTGCAGGAGTCGTGTGATTGCTTTTTGAATCGCGACAAAGGTCCTATACAAAAAGTTCCCGTGTTAGGAACAACCAAGGGACCAAGAAGGTGGCTGGAAAGATCGACTACAGAAAAACTATCGAGGGTTCTTTCGGGGCAGCTGCAACAAATACGGTGATGGTGGCAGCGGAGGGAGGAAAAGTCGAGTATAGTCATCACCTCAAAACGAGATAAAGATGAAGCACCATTCACTCTTGGATAGAGCCCTAGAAGGGTAAATTTGGAGACGATGGTGGCTGTTTGGACAAACAACTCACCAAAACTGAAATCCAGAAGGGTAAAATTGGAGACGATGGTGGTTGTCCGGACAAGCAACTCACCAAAACTGAAATCCAAACCCTAATACAATACATATATAAAAAAGAACTATAAAGGAAGGAAAGAAAGAAACTTGCTAAATAAATCAAGAGGAAAATATAATATGAATCGTGTTCGTCAGCCTTATGTGATCGTTAATCCTGAAAACAGTTGCAGTACTGTAGCATAAATCTCAGAAAGTACATGTGTGATCTGCCCATCACTTTTCCTAGCAAATCAACATCAAGGCCAACAATGCAACAAGGGCTCAAAAGATGCACAAAATTCGGTTCTTCACATAATTCATTTAGTCAAGTCATATAGATATCAAGCAACAAATGCACAAAATTCTGTAACTCCGTGTAATTTGATGGGGAGCCATGGTGGACTGAGCTTTCTAGTACATCATTTGTGTATATTACTCAGCTAGGATCCTTGGAGCTTTTCGAGTTAAAGAATCGCAATTGATGACTAAAAACTCTAGCAGGGAAGATTTTTACAGTACGCAAACACCCTTGTTTAGTCCCACATCAAATAATCAATGTTAGTTGTTGGCACATCAAATGGTCAAACCCTCTGTTGAGTTTAAGCGCTTGATTTATGTGATTCATTCAAACAATTTAGGTGTTGAACCCAAAATATTGGATCAACAGTGACATACTAAATATTATAAAAAGATAATCAAACAAAGACACTGATAAATAATACAAGAAAAAAGAATGTGAAAATCAGAAAAAACTATAACATTGTGCGGATAAGAATAAGTAACTAGCCAGTGTAGTAATGGGAGAGAGAAATAGGAGAACTAACAATAGTTTCTTGCACCAAAACTTAGCTTATGTGCATAAGATTGCATACAAACTTTCAATATAAAAGTATAATTTTGTATCAAGATTTAAATACATGATTTGAATGTCCCAAAGATTCACTCCACAAGGCATATATCAAGTACTTCTGATGAGTTAAATTTGTGTAAGAAGTGTGTTAAACTTCTGATTTTCAAAAATATTCATTAAACATAAAGGCAGAAAAGTAGATTACGGTTTATGTGAATATCAAATGTACCTTCATGTATCTCGCTAGCCTTTTGTGGATCAAAATGAAGTTCATCACAAAGATTTTGCAGAAAGGCAGCTTTGCTTGAAGCTGCATCCAATTCACCACTAGAAACAGCTTGAGAAAGCCGCTTACGATAGGCCTTAACAGTAATATCTAGCAGTATTGCATCTGCTTCACGATTCCCTAAACCAAATATGTTCTTCAATTGGTTCAAAACCAAAAGCTACAAAAACATCAAGGCGCATTGTGAAAGTCAATAGCACAAATATTTATTAAAGAAACTTTCAATTCATAGCTACCCAACAGGTGTGTACGCACAATAATTAAGAAAAGAAAGAATGTTGTATGTTCACCCATCCCACGTAATTTTAATTCTCTCATTTCTCTCTATACTTCCCACTGATATCATGTCCCGTTCATAACCTCTCAATATTTATACAGTTCATTAATATAACATAAAAGATAACCGATACCATCCAAAGTAAGGAAAATACAAAACTTCTTTGCATATAGCACAAAAGCTCATCAGAAAAAAATCACTGCTGATGTCTTGAATCACTATAATTTCAAGAATGTTAGAAAACATATTAAGAATGGTAGCACACATAATGATTAGTAATATGCTAGACATATATTAAATACTCATTTGATGATGGAATTTATCATCATCCTCCTGTTATTAAGTTTTTTTTTTCTTTTCATCTGTCTTCCTATTTGCTCATTACGTCTCTGATGTTTAATTGAAGGTTCTATAAAAGTTGGATTTGGTTCACCTAAAAAAAATTATATAAACCCAATGGCTGTAACTACTGATGCTCATTTAAATGTACTACATAGAAGAAAATCTGATATCTCAAAAATATGCTTAAAGTCTTAAAGTTCGCAGCACAGCCCCAAAAAAAAAAAAATCCATGAGAGAAATCAATTCTTAAAGAAATAGATCCGCTTTTACATGGTTCACTATTCCATAAAAAACAACGCACTGCAAAATACAGATTTGTTCACAATGGTAATATAAAACACATTATAGATTTACATTTACCTTCTGTTCCTCCAGGCGTCCATTTGGAAAACATTCAGCAGCATATGTTCTATAAAGCAATTTTAAATCATCAATTTTTCTGTCACTGTCATACTCTCCACCTGCTTGTGTATGCTGAGTTAAGAAATCACCAACCGGCAATAAAAAGGGTGCTCAAGAATGCTTTGAAAGGATGACTTACCTAATAAGGAAATTGGACCAACGCCAGGGACAAAACTATTATACTCAGGATGTTTGCTTAAGCGTGTGAGTAAATCATTTAACGCCAAAACCTTCTCAATCTCTTCCATAACCCGAGTGGTTCTTCTACAACAACATTGAATAAAAACATAAATATATACTAATGAAATGTAAAACTATGAACAATGAGTATCACATTGTGATTTAACACAGTAAATAAACAAATGAAAAACAAGAGTTTGAAAATTACTCGTACAAAAAATTAATCCAAACGCTTTAAAAATCATGTCGGTAAAATAATGCTCGCTAAAAGCTCATCAACGCTTTTTTTCGGAACAATTTAGAAGCTGAGAGGAACAGAAGGCCTTGGCTGAAAGCACCACTGTGCCTGCAACTGAAGTCCCTGAGGCATAATAATCAAAATGGCGCTCTGATGAAAGAATACTTTTATAAGCTTCATGATTCATTGCCATCCTCTGAACTTTCATGACTTGTGTGTCAATTGATGCGGCAGATGCCACATCCCTGCCCTGGACCAAACCGGTGCAGCCTGTTAGAGGGCCGGTCTTCCCTCTAACTAGAGGAGTTCCGCCTCCCTTCAAGACGGGGGCCCACACTTATTTATCTAGGGTGATATATTTCTTGTTGTTGGATTTAGAGTTCAGTTTTCATAAGATTTGCTTTGGGACAACCGTCAACTTCTCCTTTTCCCCTCTTCAAGTTGTTTCTTAGGTTTTAAGTGGTGCTCCGCCTGTGTTTTGATCTCTGGGTAGTGATTTGATCTCTGGGTAGTGATTACCCTTCCTATATTTCTTCACCATCCTTCTTGCATCACTCCCCACTCCCCTCCCTTGTTGTGGGGGCAAAATTGCAGAAAACAGCAAGGATTTACTATTCTAGGCGGTGGCAGCACTAACAGCCCCTTTGCTAACTCTATTGAGAGCCAAGCCCCTTGTCGGCACCCCTTCCACCCTAGATTCAACACAGGGCTAGTATTGTGTTGTTGGTTGCAATTTCATATTTCCACATTGTCTTGTTATAATTTCCTATTTGAAGTTAGTAATAATATTTGCTCTACATTAGTGTTTGCACACGTTCCACTATCATTTGGTTTCAAAGCTAGCATAACCCTAGTCCTATCCTAGGGTTACCAAAATTCAACAATACCTAACCCAAACTCTACCCAAAATCCTTCCCACCTTGTTGATTTTCAAATCTACACCCAAACCTTTTTTTCACCCTACCCAAAACCCTTCCCACCTTGATTTTCAAATCTACACCCAAACAGTTTTTCACCCTAAATATGCCTCATACAACCTCTTTCACCTCCCAACTCTAAAACCTAGCCATGTCACCGAAGACGGGAACTTACCATGGAAAAGAAGTAGCAAGAAATCTGCCAACTTCGGCAAAGACTTGTAGAATTTGAGGAAAGGATATATAGAGAGATCAATGTAGATCGTGACAACCATATTCAAAGAGGAGCGAGAAAAATCTGAACCCCTTCCATAAGGATGATTCTAGTGAAGATGAGGATAGGCCACGACGCTTCGAGATTCAATATCAGAGGAGGTCGGGGGATAGAGTGGCTTTTGGAGGACATATAGGCTTGGGAGTGAAGGTAGGCTTACAGGATTTCGAGGGAAGAATGAATATGGATGACTTTATTGAGTGGTTGCAGACTGTTGAGAAGATTTTTTAAGACAAGGAGACGTCAGCTAATAGGAGAGTGAAGCTTGTTGCCATAAAGCTGAAGAAGAGTATCGCTTTGTAGTAAAGAAAGAGAGAGACAGAGAAGGTTAGAGATAGATCGTCACTTGGGAGAAGATGAAAGAGATGCAGAAGAAGTACCTACTCCAGCACTACCGTTAAAACATATTCTTAAAGCTCCACCACCAACGACAGGTAGAGTTGTCGGAGAAGTTCACATCAGAGTTTGAGCTAGTCAAGCTGAAATGTGAGCTGATAGAGCCAGAAGAGCACAATATCACTAGATATTTGGGAAGTCTGAAAACAACCATCAACAATGTTGTCCAGCTACAGTTGTATTAGTCGTTGGGAGATATTCAGACCTTGACACTGAAGGTGGATAAACAGTAAAAGCAGATCAGGACCCCGCCTTCATTCAAACAGTCACCCACAAAAGGAGCGGTAGGAGTACACCTGAGGAAGGAGTGAAAACTGTCCAGAAAGATGATAGAACTAATGAGAGTGTGAAGAAGCCCGAGAGGAGCTGTATAACCTAGCACATTGCCCACAAAGAAGTGTTTCGGATGTTTGGACACATTGCCTCCAATTGCCATACTACAAGAGTTGTCTCTTTCACAGAGTAGGAAGCATTAGAAGAAGTGGACACTGGTGTTGGATACATAGACAATAGTGAGGAGGTGCAAGAGCACCAGCTTCTAGATGATGAAGGAGAGATGGTTGCGGTGTGACGGCTCCAACATTAGGCTATGATAGAGCAGTAGTCGCTTCGACACATCTTTTATAAATATTGCACTGTGAAGGAAAATGTGCAGCCTTATCATCGATAGAGGTAGTAGTAAGAATGTGGCGTCCACACAAGTAGTGGATAAGAAACATTCTCAACCCTATTCCCTGATTTAGTTGAAGAAAGAGAACAGGGTTAGCATTGAAAAAAGATATCACATTGACTTTTCTAAATGAGAACAGCTGCAGGATCAGTTGTGGTATGATATTGTGCCCATGGATACTAGTCACATTCAGTTAGAGAGACCGTGACAGTTTGATCGCAGAGCTAGGAATGATGAGTTTAAGAACACCTACTCATTCATCAAGGATGCAAAGCACATAATTCTCCTACCTTTTGCGAAGTCTAAGGTCATAGGTTCTCTTGTCAGTGGAGTCTGAGGTTATTGGCACTCTTGCCACCAGAAAGGTACCAATGACATCAAATTTGGAGATATTACAGTAGTGAGCCAAAAGAGCTTATACCAAACACAGTCAGCCACTATGAAGGGAGTTTTAAGATATTCTGACCGACAGCTTACCGCCAAAGTTGCCACCGTTAGAGGAGGTTCAGTCTATTTTCACTTGAGAGAGAGATGAGCCAATCTTGAGCTACTTTTAGAGAACTTTGCATGGTACACTTTGCACGAAATTACAGTTTAGTCCAACAAAAATACACACAGATGATTGAACAAGCAGAGTTTGTTACTTTCAATTCAGTGACTCTTCTCAGAAATTTTGGGGGCAATGCATCTGATAGTGGGATCCAGATCCTTCTAAAGACAAAATCAAAGACCATCCAAACCCATAAGGTTACAACATTCCAGTCACCTTCAACTTTACCGATCTGACTCCATATTATGAGGAGACGTAAGCTTCGACAGATGAGATCAAAGCTCCCACAACCTTGGAAGACTGAAGCAGGAATCAATTGATGCGGCAGATGACGCGTCCTTGTCCTGGACCGAGCCGGTCTACGTTGTAGAAGAGTTGGTCGGCCCTCTAACCTAAAGAATCGGCCTCCCTTCAAGAAGGGGCCCACTCCTATTGACCTAGGGTTATATGTTTGCTCTTGTTGGCTTTAGAGTTCAATTTTTTGTGAGATTTGCTTTGGGACAACCGTCAGCATTCCTCTTCGGGCTGTATTCTAGGGTTTCAAGTAGTGCTCTGGCTTGTATTTTGGTCTCCCGGTGGTGATTACCCTTCTGATACATATTTCCCATCCTTCGTGCATCAATTCAAGCTCATTAGGAAACTCTGTAATCTGAATTTTGATCAAGTGCCTTTATCTCCCTCATATGATGTTTGATTGACAATCTGACATCACCTACGGATTTATGGTAGCATGCTCTTTGATCTCAAAATTGTTCTAAAAAACATCCTGATAAACAATCTACGCCAAAAAGTTGGACAGTTAAAATTTTAATGGATTTTTTTTTATCTTATCATCAACTAATACCCTAGTCATGATCATAGAAGATCTAATTAACTATCTTCTAGATCAGATAATCAAATCCCTTAATAATATAGGAAATGAAACATACCTACAATAACAAAAAGATTTTAGTATCAATGAAGTCGTATTAGTCAAACTACTCGCTCATTTTAGTAGCATTTTCAATTAAAATTAGCTTTACAAAAAGCATATATCAATATACCAAAATTTGAAAACTGAATTTAAGACATTTTGATAACCAACACAAAAGGATGGGGACTTAATAATAATCCTTGATATCAAGCTATTAAAATGGAAATTCCTTGCTTACCAACTAATTGTAAAACTAGTCAATGTTCTGTCATATATTTCTTCAATAACTTCAACATCAACATATCCTCTGCAAATGTCTAATTTGTCTAGAATTCGAACAAAATCAATTCTCGAGATAATCAATCATTCACCATCTCAAGATCTTCTTTTGCTCGCTATAACTGTTTATTAACTGGTTTAACACAACCCACATCCATACGAGATCTTCATAGAATCTATTGCCCACTTAAGAAACTTCATTATACGACTTCCAATTCCATATAATTACTAAATATAAAAAGGCATTGTAATTTTTATCTAGGAAGTACAATTAAAGTTATCACTAGCAACATTATCGTTATTTTAAAATATAATAAATATTGTTATTAGTAAATCTTGGTTGAACAAGAGAAAGATGGTTGAGATCTACAATGAGGGGGAATGAGAGCATCGATACAATTGAGAATGAGAAGAAAGAGAGTAAATAGTTAAGTTGATGATTCCAACAAAGACTTATTAAGTGATAAAAAGAATGATAACTTTAGAATTTTGAGATTTTAAACTTGATAACTATTTATGTTCTTACTTCGATGGATGATAATCAAAGTGAATTATTGTATCAAACTTATTTTGGACTAAGAAGAAAATTTTATTTTGAGCGGTTATGTTATTATGCCTTACTTTGAAACTTCTAATTTTTGTTTTATGATTTAATATTTGAATGTTAACATGTTACTTCTTACTTTGAAATAAGTTCATCATAGTAGAATTTTAGTATGTTACTTTATAACCTATTAAATTAGGACATTAATATATTACATCTTAATGCATGCTGTGCGTAGAGCAAAACACGCTTCAGTGAAGGAGCAGGGAACCGGAGTGGAGCAAGACGCCCTCCCGCAAAGAA